TAGCCATCCTGTTGTATTTATTTATCCCCAGTATTTATTTATCTTACAACTGGAAATTATTGCATTTGACCACCTCCATCCAATCCCTCCCACTGCCCCACATCTGGTAACCACAAATCTGATTTCTTTTTCTATGTGTGTTTTTTGTTTTGTTTGGAATCTACATTAAGTGAGATCATACAGTATTTGTCTTTCCTTGTCTGACTTAGTTCACTCAACACAATGCTCTCAACATCCATTTATGTTGTTGCCAATGGTGGGGTTTCCTTCTTTTTTTCTGGCTGAATGGTATTTCATGCTACTTCTTTATCCATTCATCCATCGACAGACACTTAGGTTGTTTCCATGTTTTGGCTGTTGTAAATAATGCTGCAATAAACATGCAGGTACAGATGCCTCTTCAACACAGTGTCCCTTGTTTCCTTCAGGTATATATCCAGAAGTAGAATTTTTGCATCATATAGTAGTCTTATTTTTAATTTTTTGAGGAATCTCTTTTGCCTCTCCATATAAAGTTTAGAATTAATTGTTGATATTTACAAAATAATCTGCATAGATTTTGATTTTGATGCATTGGATCTATAGATCAAGTTGGGAAGAACTGACATCTTGAGAGTCCTTTTAATATTGTGTAGGAATAGGGAAGGTATCATGCAGAGTCTCCAGGAAGCAGTTTCTAATCTGTGACAGTGAGGACGGCTCATTATTTCCTTCTTTTTACCCAATTATTTATTGCTTCTATGATCCCAAAGGAGGCTTGGGAGATAATAATCTGGATGACATTGTATATGACTCAAGGTCAGTGTCTCAGATCAGGGTTCATGATAAAATTTTTAATCATAATCAGAAGGCTTGAATGCATTACCAATGATTTCCTTTCTCCAAACTCTTAGATGTAGCCTCTTTCCAGTCAGGAATATGTAGAATGACCCTAAAGTTTTCATACTCAGTGGGATACTTTTGACATCAAAAGCGGATGTTATTATTAGGCAAATAGTTAGGCAAACAGGATTACTGGTTACTCAAGAAATAAAGGAATTTGGGCTATTGCATTAGATATGCAAAGAGAAAGGATTCAAGGAACCAATGTTGAGTAGGTTTGTCTAGGCTTGGACTGGTGTTTAATTGGCAAAACTGTGATCACTGTGGTAGTTGTCTGAGTCCCAGAAGCCCATGTCCACACCCTGAGTCACCCCCACCAGGGTGTTTTAAAACTTATTTCTACAAGGGCACCAGCATGGGTGTTGTACCAGCAGTGGACTGAAGGTGGGGTCTGGTTTATTCAAGAGATTTAAAGCATGAAATTTTTAATTGCCTTGTTTATATCTAAACATTTAGATATTCAACATTTTAAAGAAATGAGAAAAATATGAGACTACGCATCTTTGAATGTTGGATGAAAGGGATGTATTCTGCTGCTGTTGGGTGTAATGCTCTGGTCTACTAAGTCCATTTGTTGTAGAGTGCATTTCAATTTCAGTATTTTCTTGTTGATTGTCTGTCTGGTGTTCTATCCATTGCTGATAGTAAGTTATTAAAATCTCCTATTGTTATTGTATTGTCTGTTTCTCCCTTAAGTTCTGTTACCTTTTTTAGTTTTTTTTTTTTTTTTTTTTTTGTCAGAGAGAGAGAGAGAGAGAATGAGCACACAGGCAGACAGAGTGGCAGAGGGAGAAGCAGGCTCCCCGCTGAGCAAGGAGCCTGATGTGGGACTCGATCCCAGGACGCTGGGATCATGACCTGAGCCAAAGGCAGCCGCTTAACCAACTGAGCCACCCAGGTGTCCCCCCTTAAGTTCTGTTATTAATTGCTTAATATATTTCAATGCTTAGGTATTGGAAGCATATATATTTGTGATAACTATATCTTCTTGATGTATTGATCTCTTTGATATCATACAATAACCTTTCTTTGGTTTTCTTTTACCCTTTTTGGCTTGAAGTCTATCTTGTCTGATGTAAGTGAGGCTACGCCTGCCTTGTCGTTTCCACTTGCTCGGAATATATTCTTCCACGCTTTCACTGTCTTGCAGGCAGTATATATTCAGGTAATTCTTAAGCCCATTCAGCCACTCTGTGCCTTTTGATTTGTGAGTTCAAGCAATTTCATCTAGGGTAATTATCAATATGTAAGAATTTACTACTCCCATTCCATCTTTTGTTTTCTGGTAACTTTGTTTCTCTCATGTTTCTCTTTCTTGTTTTTGTTTACTTCTTAAATTGGTGGTTTTCCACGGTGATTTGCTCTGTCTCCCCCTTTATTATGTTTTGTGTCTCTGCTCTAGATTTTTGCCTGGTGGTTACAATGACGTCTACAGAAAACATCTCATGAAATAATCCTTTTTCTGCTGATAGCAATTTATCTTCATTCACTTATCAAGTATCCTTCCTTTTAACCTTCCTCATTTATATCTTTGATGTCATGATCTTTTTTTTTTTTTTTTGAGAAGGGGAGGGGAAGAGGGAGAGAATCTTAAGCAGGCTTAAGATTCTTAAGATCTTAAGCAGGCTCCATGTCCATCATCATCCAGTCTGATGCTGGGTTCAATCTCATGACCCAAAGATCACCATTCAAGCTGAAACCAAGAGTCTGACACTTAACCGACTGAGCCACCCAGGCACCCCTCATTACCTCTTTATATCCAAGGTTCCCAGCATACTGCTTGATAACTATTATATGCCAAATAAATGATTGCTGGATTAATTAAAGATTTTTAGAGTTCTATATAATGACACCATCCAGTGTTTTAAGCAGTTCTATAGTAGGTGTTATTTTATAATTCTGCCATCAATTAACAAATTTCTATTTACAAATCTTTGGTCTTTTGGAAAATAAAAGTTGTTTTTTTAAATTTAATTTTATTTTTTCAGTGTTCCAAGATTCCCTGTTTATGCACCACACCCAGGGCTTCATGTAGTACGTGTCCTCCTTAATACCCACCACCAGGTTCATCCATCCCCCCACTCCCCTCCCCTCCAAAACCCTCAGTTTGTTTCTCAGAGTCCACAGTCTCTCATGGTTCGTCAGTGTTTTATTTTTGCTTGAATGTCTTTAAATTCCAGTGGTTTTGTACAGGTTTGCATTATTATGAGACCTTTTTCTTTTTTTTTTAGTTATGTTCAGTTAGCCACTGTATAGCACATCATCAGTTTTTGATGTAGTGTTCAATGATTCATTAGTTGCAAGACTTTTTTCTTTGAAAATTATATGCTTTAGGGTTTTTAAAAAAGATTTTATTTATTTACTTGACAGAGAGAGAGAGAGATCACAAGTAAGCAGAGAGGCAGGCAGAGAAAGAGAGGGAAGCAGGCTCCCCGCTGAACAGAGAGTCCAATGTGGGGCTCTATCCCAGGACCCTGAGATCATGATCTGAGCTGAAGGCAGAGGCTTAACCCACTAAGTCACCCAGGCACCCCTGCTTTTGCTTTTTGACTATTTAATCTTGAATTATGTACTTTTTCATGAATATTTATTAGATATACATATTAATATAGAGCCATTTTGAAAATTTTTAATTTGTCTTTTGCAATTTTTTAGTGGGGGGAGCAGAAGGAGAGGGAGAATCTTAAGCAGCCTCCACACCTAGCTCAGAGCCTGACCCAGGGCTGAATCTCACAACCTTGAGATCATGACCTGAGCTGAAATCAAAAGTCGGACACTTAAGTGACTGAGCCACACAGGCGTCCCTGAAATTTATTTTTGATGATTCCTTATAATATTTTTAAATGGTGCATTATCCTTTTTAAACTTAGAATATAAAGACTTATAAAAAAATAAAAATCTCATAAAGGTACACCACTAGAGGTTTACAGCTTTTATAATTTTTATGAGTATTATTCTAGATTTCTCTTATATCTCTAGGGCTGGACCAACAGAGGTTTTAAACGAGTATTTAGGCATTTAGATTTCTGGCATTTGCTTTACTATGCAGAACACTTTTGTAACCCCAAGATTTTGTAGCCAGGTTTTGTATTGAATAACATGGTTTAATTGTTCTATATATCTTTTTAATCACATGGAGTATTTTTTTGGTTTGGGGAATGAAGTTTAAAAATTAGGCATTTATTTATTTATTTATTTTTTAAAAAAAGATTTTATTTATTTATTTGACAGAGAGAGACACAGCGAGAGAGGGAACATCAGCAGAGGGAGAAGGAGAGGGAGAAGTAGGTTCCTCGCTGAGCAAGGAGCCCGATGCAGGGCTCGATCCCAGGACCCTGGGATTGAGATGTGAGCTGAAGGCAGACACTTAACAACTGAGCCACCCAGGCGCCCCAGGCATTTATTTATAAAATCATATAATGGTAATTATTATGTAATTACTTATTTCTATCAGTGATTCATGATACCCTTAATCATCATAAATCATTGATAATGATTAGTTGATAATGATAATGATCAATGAATCATTGATAATGAAATCATTGATAATGATCAAACTTCAAGTTTCAAATATGCTACCATATCATTCTGGACTTCTTTGGATTTGTAAAGTCATCTGCTATTGTGTTTTTGACCTACTGCGTCTCATTCCAGCATATGTTGCCCCAAAAACCTACCTCGTCCTCCCTCCATGAGCCTCATTTCTCTGAATCATTTTGCCTATTATTAATTTGTACATACATATGGAACTCTTTTTGGAGTTGTCCCCAAAGATGGAGTTTTCCATTGTAATTACTCCAGCAATTACTCTACCAATTAACTGGGGCAAAATCAAAGTTTTAAAATTCTATTCTACCTTTCTGTCCAGAAAGATGCTAGACATCTATAATTTTGCACATATTTTACTATGATTCCTTTAAAAATATTATGACTTTGTATGTATAGAATTGTCAAATCACTATGTGGTGCACCTGAAACTAATAGAACATTGTATATCTACGAGACTTCAAGAATAAAAAAACTTTTTCAAGTATTAGGGCTTTCCTCAAATTTCTCATTATGATTAACTATAGCTATTGCATAGTTACTTAGTCCTGCAATTATAAAAGGGATCCATGTTTCCTTTATAGCTTTTTGTTTTGTTTATTTTACAGATCTTTCCAGTATCTGGGGATGATCCTGACTTTCCTTCCTCTGTCTTGCTCCTTGATTAGCAGTTCGTTACTGGAACTCCTTAAAACTGTGTCACTTTCATGAAGGTATCTTCCTTCTTTGTTTTTCTTAGGTCTTCTCTCCTGGTAAAAATACAATGAAACCAACAAAGAAGCACAAAAATGAGAAGACATCAAGTCAACATATAGGTCCTGCATTCTTAAAGCAAACTGATTCTTGACCCATTAATTTTGATTAAAACCAGGACCCCCGCCCGAAGGATCTGAGTAAATTCTGGGAAGGCAGCTTCCATAGTTTCAACTCCCACCCTCACCTTTGGAGGCCAAGGGATCTGGAAGAGGTAAAGGCAATATACAAAAGTTTAAAAATCCTTTCCGATTCTTTTTTTTTTTTTAAGATTTGATTTATTTATTTGACAGACAGAGATCACAAGCAGGCAGAGAGGCAGGCAGATAGAGAGGAGGAAGCAGGCTCCCTGCTGAGCAGAGAGCCCGATGTGGGGCACGATCCCAGGACCCTGGGACCATGACCTGAGCTGAAGACAGAGGCTTTAATCCACTGAGCCACCCAGGCACCCCTTTTCAGATTCTTGATCATTTAAAAATTTTTTAAAATTTTTAGACTTTTAAAAAATTTTAAAAATTTAAAAAATTCTTCAAAATTTAAAAAATTAAAAAATTTAAAAAAATTTAAAAATTCAATTAAAATGCCTATATTTTATTTATTTTATTTTATTTTTGAGTAGGCACCATGCCCAGCATGGAGCCCATTTAAGCCCATGGGCTAAACTCATGACCCTGAGATCAAGACCTGACCTGAGATTGAAAGTCAGATATGTAACTAACTAAGCCACTCAGGCACGCCTTTCTTCCTTCTTTCCTTCCTTCCTTCCTTCCTTCCTTCCTTCCTTCCTTCCTTTTTGAGTAGGCCCCATGACCAAAAAAATGCCTATATTTTAAATTGGGTATTCTTCAGTATCCCAAAAGGATAAGGACCCAAAAAGAAATATATATCACGTGTGCTATATCTCCAAATATGTTTTTGAGAGCATCTGAAATTTTGTTTGTACATGTATCTTAGTCATAATTTGTGAAGCTACTATGATCCATAAAGCAAGAAAATTCATGGTCTTACCATTTTTAAAAACTCAAAAATTAAGATGCCCATAAGAAAATTTCAAAGTTAGACATTACCATGTATATGAAAGAACAAAGAAAACAAAGTCCAACGCTAACAATTTTTTTTCACTCTGTTTTCCATTTAACCTTACAGGTGAAAGACTTTGGTTGAACTTCGTAACAACTGCTAAAGTAAAAATGTCAAGTAAAAGGGAAGCCCTCCATCTGAAAGAAGACTGAACAATTATGCCTTCAACCTTTAAAGGGTTGAAACCTGCCCAGAAATCTGCCATGGTATATGAGGTTTCCCTCTGATTAATTAAGCTTGTTATTTGTTTGAATGCACCAGCATTCAAGATAATAAAATTTCTTGTTCTGTGTAAAACCAACCAACCAACCAACCAACTTATATTTACTCCTCCTTTCCCACTTTTCTTAACAGTTGCATTCCCAGCAGAAAACCAGCAGCTGGTCTGGATCTCACAGGTAGCCCAGTGAGACTCTTCCCCTGAGGTACATGGTCATCTGTGGGAGGGGATCCTGTCATCTCCCTGATCCCATTCAGATTCTTCAGTGACCAGGGCAGTCCTCAGAAGCTCCAGGGAGCTCACTGCACTCCCCCAGCTGGGTGCTTCTGGGGTCTGAGGGATGAGATCCTGGTGTCTGGATCTGTGTGTCTATGAAATACCTTCAGGGTGTGTTTGTCACCCTAAGACACCTAATTTTGGCTGCTGGGCAGAGCCAGTCTGTGTGACCTGGGGAGCCACGGAGTATCTGAAGTCAGTGTGAAGAGGCACAGAGCTGTAGCTAAGCCAAAGGCACTGACCACATGACATATGTCTAGGTCTAAATCTTTCCCTGGGAGGGGCAGCTGGCTGGCTCAGTCGCTGGGCAGGTGACTTGGTCTTGGAGTCATGAGTTCAAGCCCCATATTGGGCATTTAGCTCACTAAAAAAAAAAAAAGAAAATTCATAGGGGCGCTTGGGTGTCTGCCTTCAGCTCAGGTCATGATCTTGGAGTCTTGAGATCAAGCCCTACGGCTCCCAGCTGGGCAGGAAGTCTGCTTCTCCTTCTCCCTCTGCCTCTCCTACTGCTTGTGCTCTCTCTCTCTCTCAAATGAATAAATCAAAAAAATTTTTAAAATTCATAAATCTTTCCCAGGGGACAGTGATCCTGAATGGTGTCTTGCCTTCCTTGTCACAGACCTAGAGCACACAGTTCCCCTAAGTGGCAGCCAGGGGGTCTACTCACTCCTTTTCCACATCCTGGATGAAGTCAGGCAGAGGCCGATTCCTGGTTTCAGGAAGGAGGAGAACAGTAAGACCAGAGAGGATGGGGAAGACTCCATACATGATCCAGGGCAGGTGGGGAGAATACACAGTTAGGATCATCAAGAGGGGAGCCAGGGCTGCTCCAAAGTTAGCAGCAATTCCCAGGATTCCTGTCGCTGTTGCCCTTGGAGTGCAAACAATACAAACACAGGTATAAATCCATGCAGGTAATTTGTGATTTATTATTTTGTTTCAATTATGGGAGATATCACAATAGTGTTTAGATACATGAAGGTTGACGTTATACTCTTACATTTCAAATATGCTGTCTTGTTTGCTAGCAATTTTTTTCAAGTGCACAAGTGCATTAGCACATACTTTCATCATTTAAAAAATACTCTTCTCCATACCATCTACCACTGAGTGGTTCTGTAGATTATGTGAGATAGTATGTTAAAAAAAAAACACAGTGCCTTGCCAAAGTCAAATTTTAATAAATTTTAGTTTAAATTTAGTTTAAATTTTGGTTGTAATTTTTGTTACTATTAATACTATTATGGGCGCTTGGGTAGTTCAGTCGTTAAGTGTCTGCCTTGAGCTCAGGTCATGATCCCAGGGTCCTGGAATCGAATTCTGCATCAGGCTCCCAGCTCAGCAGGAAACCTGCTTCTCTCTCTCCCTCTCCCACTCCCCCTGCTTGTATTTTCTCTCTCTCTCTCTCTGTCAAATAAATAAATAAATAAAATCTTTTTAAAAAAGCTATTAAAATTGATGCTTCTGATAACTCACCAGTGTTCTTTCCACTATAAATGTTAATTAGCTGGGGAAGGTCTATTTAGACCCTGCTAGAGCTTCCATGAGCTTTGTACCTGATTATGGTAGGGATTAGTTCATTTCCATGGGCAGAAGAACTCATGAGAGCTGCAGAAGAAACTCCTACTCCCAAAGTTGACAAAGTAACACGCAGAGTCTGCATTTCTGGAGAGGAAGACCAGTGAGACTCAGGAAATCAGAGCTAAAGGAATCACCATCCACCAAATAACAAATGAAAAAGACAATTGGACATGTTTGCATGTGTTAAGTACATTGTAGAAAAAGTGCACGGAGGCAGAGAACGTGGAGTGACTAGTAGCTGAGAAATGTGACTTATCTGTATGTTACAACTTAAACAGAGAATAAAAAACCCGAGTCATTTTATTACCTCTCCCTTACACATCAGAGATTTGCCAAAGACGGAGAGGGGAACGTGAGTTCGCTTTCATTTATTTTGTCCAGCGTCTCCTCTGCCTTTCATGTATAAAGTGGGACTCCATATGAACAATTTTGGAGGAATGTAAAACTCATCGATGTCCTTGAGGAGTTTAAAACCTGGGTGCACACATGATATTAATGTGGGGCTAGTACTGCGGCAGAGAGTAATAAGACCTTTGTCTCATGTTCTGGATAAGCTGGAGACTAGCTTGATCTAGAGCAATATTTGAAGATTTAAGAATAAAGATCTGTGTTAGGGGAATGATTGTTGGACTTTGGAAACCTCTGAAAGGAAATCTCAGAGTCCGTTTTCTACTCAATAATTAAAAAAAAAATCTCATGAGAGTGTTACAACATTGGAGTACACTTGTGGTAAAGCAGCAAACATGCATCAGTGCACACATCCAAGATGAGGGCAGAGCTACCAATCTGGGATCCTGTAACATACACAGCTATGCTGGGAGTTAGGCAAAGCGCGGGACCACCACGGTTCCCCTATTCATGACATAAGATCATTTAATTTAGTAAAATAGATTCTAAGAGAGGCTTTAACTGCCTCACTCCTTGTTCCTATTGCCTGCTTCTCTGCTTGAAGACAAGATACTTTTATTTTCTTGAAATCAAAAAGCCTTCCCTAAACAGTGATTGCAGTGATGGTGACCTAATACAAGACACACAAGTGAATATAGGTAGACATTAGGGAGGAAATTGTCACCGAAGCTGTAGTAATAAGAAAATAACCAGACAGCAGAAATGAGGGTGTTGTGTTCTCATATGAGATAAAATTAACATATATTGGACACGATACTGTCATTTACAATTACAAGTGTGATTGGTCAAAGCCAAAAGGGCAAGTGATTAACTGGTCTCCTAGAGAAACTTCAAGGAAGATACAGCACCAGATACTTCTCAAATGTGATAAGGATAGCCATACGTCTGCACCAGCTCTTACTGAGCTATGACTCTTTCCCAGCTGCTTAATGGTAGAATCTGTCCTAAATCCTCAGATCAGTTTTGGGGAATCATTAGAACCATATTCTCCCTTTCCTTGTGTGAGTCTAGTCCCCAAGTCCCTGAGATATTTCTTTTCTTCAACCTGTGCTCTTTTCTCACCTTCAGGCAGAAACGTGGTGGTCAGAATGAAGATTCCAAGTAAGGACCCGAAAATCATCTGGCTTACTCGACGGCCCATATGATTCAGTGCCAAAAGGGCAACGTAATTGGCGGGGAGGTTGATCATGCCAAAGAGAACCTGGAACAGGAAAACATTGTTCCCAATGTGCTGGAGGTGGAGAATCAGGCCATAAAAGGGCATGTAAGTTGCAAATCTGCAGGGAACAAAAGAAGAAAGATAGATGTCATCATGTTTAGACCCTAGGTTCTACAAAACACAATCATAAATATCATCAGACAGGCAGCCAGTGGTTGGTGTTCAAGCACAAAGGTACGGTCTGTTTTGTAGAATATTCTACGTGGTGATGATTTAAAAACTGTCACAAAATATTGCATAAATTGGAAGTCATAATGGTTACTTTTTGGTAACCATTGGTGGGTGAGGGTATTCTTAAGAATATACAATGAGGGAAGCCCCTGGGTAGCTCAGTCAGTTAAGCATCTGCCTTTGGCTCAGGTCATGATCTTGGAGTCCTGCTCAGCAGGGAGTCTGCTTCTCCTTCTACCCCTCACCCTGTTTGTATTCTCTCTCTCTCTCTCTCAAATAAATAAATAAATAAATAAAATCTTTTTTTTTTTTTTTAAAAAGAAAGAATACTGGGGTGCCTGGGTGGCTCAGTGGGTTAAAGCCTCTGCCTTTGGCTCAGGTCATGATCCCAGAGTCCCGGGATCAAGCTCCACATAGGGCTCTCTGCACAGCGGGAAGTCTGCTTCCTCCTCTCTCTCTCTGCCTGCCTCTCTGCCTACTTGTGATCTCTGTCTGTCAAATAAATAAATAAAATCTTTAAAAAAAAAGAAAGAATAGTGAGGCCCTCAAGGGTTTTAGAGTTTTTTTCTATATCCTAATTTGAGTGATGGTTACACATTTACATATGCAAATATCCATCAAGCTATATACATTGGTGCACTTAAGAATTTTTTTTTAAGTTTATTTAAGTGATCTCTACACCCAGTGTGGGGCTCAAACTCACAACCCTGAAATCAAGAGTCACATGCTCTTCTGACTGAGCCAGCCAGGTATCCCAACTCTTTGTGATTTTATCTCCGTTGACATGGAAACTAATAAGTGAACAAACTTAAAGCTAAAATCTCTACTGTGATTGAAGTTCACAGCTTTCATTTCCACTGATAAGTTGACCTAATAACAAAACTCATTGCACAATTAGTTCTGGGTCAGTCTTTCTGTAACTAAAAAACACAATTATCTTTGGCTTCCTCATTTTATCTCCAAATCTGTCCCTACAGCCTGTTGTATCCTTTGATAGGAATAGATTCATGTCTCCACTATTTTGATATTCTTCATGCACAGTGTGAAACCTACCTCACGAAGGACAATAAACAGATCCTTTTGCGCAGGATGGGCGTGCGGAACAAGTCAGGCACGGAAGGTTTTTCTTGTGCTATCTCCAGCTCCTCCTGCATGCTGGATCTCAAAACCTTCAACAACAACCACCACAAGAAACTGTTCAGTTGTCACACAATGTGAGCATTAGGAGGCCCCCTACAGAGGATAAGCTAGATCACTTGCTGTTATATTTAGGAGGAAATCAAGACCTCAAAAAGACACTGACATGTGAAAGGTGAATTAGGGAGTTAAAGGAGCCTCGGGAAAATAAAGGACTTTTTAAACACAAGATCTGAGTGGGCTGTCGGGCATCAGAAAGGGTGTGTATGTTAGATATTCAGATCAGGAAGGGAATCAAATGTGAGTTACTTGGATTAAGGTCCAAAGCTCCATTTATGCTAGATGGGCATGAAAGACCTGGACGTTAAGTTTGGTTCTCAGCCAGCCATCCTTTGCAAAGATGCTTTGCATCCTGTTTACCTCAGGAAAAATGACATTTCCTGAGAGCCTTTGTTTTGGTTCTTCATTCAGTATCTTTGAGGAAATTCCTGGCATATTGTGCTTCCATGAAGGTGATGCCTAGAATTAAATCTGAGGATGAAACCAGGGTGGCATCTTGATGTAGAATAACTCATACCCAAGTTGGTTATAATCTGGAGTTGCTTAATGGCCCTGCAGCATGCTAGGTGTATACCTTGCAGAAGGTTATTAAGTATTTCTAAACCCCAATCTCTCTGTCATGAAGAAGAAGGAGGAGAGGAGGAGGAGGAGACGGAGGGGGAGAAGAAACAAATAGAGAAAAATAATAGCACCTTTTCATGAAGACATTCTAGCCATACATTAGGTTATAAATATGTAGATGGAATTATATCCAGCAAACCTCAAATACTTACTTACTAATTATTCCAATAATATTGACTTAATTCTCATCCTGCCTTTACAAGTGAAACAATACCATGAAGTCCATTGGAAAAATTCCATGAGGAAGGGAATTTAGAGAAATGTAAGGTCATCTAAGTGAGGACCTACCAGATTAAGAATGTCTTTTTCAATTGCAGATCTAGTTCAAGCAGCAAAATGCTGGCCTTATGCTTTTGGAAGAGAAGAGTCGAGATAGCATCTCCTTCCTGCAACTAACACCAGAAACTCATGAACACAGGTCATTGTCATAGGCAGTATTCTAAGGATGGGTTCCAAGCATACCTTAAACTTGGGCCAGATGAGGGCTGCCATGCCTGTGAGACTGACCTCAAATCATATCCAGTATCAGAGTAAACGTCTGGGAGATGCTGATGGGTTATTTCACACTGGCCATTCACTTTTGGTGAGCAGAGATGTGAGTTGTATTTCCGGAAGAATTTAGGGAGGTGATGTCATGTCATTTATGGGAAGTCAAGGAGCTCCTCGTACCTGGTAAAATTCTTAATTAAGAAAGAGGAGGCCTATATTCAAATGGGAGCCTGCTGGATCTTTGTTTTTTTAAATGCATCTTTTCTTTTTCTCTGATTGTCCTTTGCTAGTTAAAAAAAAAAAAACACAAAACTATTTGTGCCCATCATAACACCATGTTGGGGTGAAAAGCATGAAACTGCCCATTGTTGTCCTGGAATTAGCAGGTACAAATACACAAAAGCCCTTCGTTAAATTTTTAGATAGTTTGTAAAACAATCACCGTGATGCTGGTGGCTTTTATTGACAATGGTGGTAGTATTCATACTACAGAAATTGATAATCACCACAAATTTGAGATCTATGGCTTTTTTCCACCCTCCTATAATGTTAGGTGTTAAACATTTACTAGCACACCACTGGCTTGGCCCCTCTGCCGCCATTTGGACTGCTCTCAATTGGAAATTTAGTCCTATCCCTGCTTGATTTAAACCTGGCTAGTTCTACCTCAACCTGTAAGGCCCATTTCAAATGTAACTACGTTCAAGTAGTTTTCAGCTCCTGCACATCTGCAATCCAGGCTATGTCCTTCTCTCGCTATTCACATTCCACCCTTGCTTTACTTCAAAGAGGCTTTAGCAAGCCCACAACCTGGCCCACCTGTTCATGAAGCTGGCAGTGGATCCACCTGCAGACCCTGGCAAAAGGTCCACAAATCCATGGGCCCAAGGAGCAGACCCACTGATAAACCCTGCTAACTGGCTTACCCAGAATCTCCAGCCATGGTGACTGGTGAAGGGCTTTTCCTGCTAAGCAGACTTTAAAGACTGGAATATGCTACTGCTTCTTCAAATGAACAAATACCCTGGGATGATGGGTATTAAGGAGGCCACATGTTGTGAGGAGCATGGGTGTTACATGCAACTGATGAATCATTGAACACTACATCAAAAACTAATGAAAATTTTCAATTTTCCAAACCCCAATGAGATATCAACTCACACCTCTCAGAATGACTAAAATTAATAAAACAAGAACCAGGTGTTGGCAAGGATGTGAAGAAAGGGGAATTCTCTTACATTGTTAGTGGGAATGCAAACTATTGCAGCCACTCTGGAGAATAATATGGTGGTTCCTCAAAAAGCTAAGAATAGAATTACCCGGGACGCCTGGGTGGCTCAGTGGGTTAAGCCTCTGCCTTCGGCTCAGGTCATGATCTCGGGGTCCTGGGATCGAGCCCCGCATCGAGCTCTCTGCTTAGCAGGGAGCCTGCTTCCTCCTCTCTGCCTGCCTCTCTGTCTACTTGTGATCTCTCTCTCTGTCAAATAAATAAATAAATAAATCTTTAAAAAAAAAAAATAGAATTACCCTATGATCCAGCAATTGCACTACTAGGTATTTACCCAAAGGGTACAAAAATACACATTCAAAAGAGTACATGCCCCCTGATGTTTATAGCAGCATTATCAACAACAGCCGAACTAGGGAAAGAGCCCAAATGCCCATCAACTGGTGAATGGATAAGGAAGATGTGGTATATATGTATGTATGTGTGTGTGTATATATATATGTAGAAATACTACTTGGCCATCAACATAATGAATTCTTGCCATTTGCAATGATATGGATGGAGTTAAAGTGTACTATGCTAAGGAAAATAAGTCAATCAGAGAAAGACAAATGCTATATGATTTCACTCTTTTGTGGAATTTAAGAAACAAAATGGATGAACATTTGGGAGGAAGAAAGGAGAGAGAGAGGGAAAAAATCATGAGACTCTTAACTATAGAGAACAGGGTTGATGGAGGGAGGTGGTTGGGAGATGGGAGGGATGGGTAATGGGTATTAAGGAAGACATGTGTTATTATGAGCACTGGGTATTATATATAAATGATGAGCCAATGAACTCTTCTCCTGAAACCAATATTGAAACTGTATGTCAACTAACTAGAATTTTTTTTTTAAATGTAGCCCAGAAATAAAAGTCTGACACCAGATGGCTTCATGGTGAATTCTACCAAACATGTAAGTTATGAACACTGATCCTCCTCAATCTTTTCCAAAAAATAGAGGAAACACTAACAGATTTGTTTTATGAGTGCAGTATGACTCTGAAACCAAAGTCAGACAAAGACACCATAAGGAAAGAAAACTACAGGGCAATATCCCCAATGAACAAAAGTGAAAAAATCATCAGCAATGTATTAGCAAACCAACTTCAACAGCACACACACGCTGCACACATGACTCAGTGGGATTTATTCCTGGGATGCAAGGATAATTCAACGTATGCAAAGTTTAAGAAATGTGATACACCACCTTAACAGAATGAAGGTTAGAAAACATTGAAGGTTAGAAAACATACGATCATCCCAATAGATGTAAAAAAACATCTGACACAATTCAACCCACATCCATGATTTTAAAAACTTTCAAGAAATAAGGAACTTACCTTAAAGGTCATATATGAAAAGCTCACAGCTAACATTATACTCAATGGTGGAAAACTGAGAGCTTTTCCTCTAAGATCTGGAACCAGACAAGAATGATGCTTTAATTCAACATAGGATTGGAAAGTCCTAGCCAGAGCAATTAGATAAGAAAAAGAAACAGAAGGCATTCAAATCAGAAAGGAAGAAAAAAGATTATCTCTGTTGGCAGAGGACATGATTTTTTATGCAGAAAACCCTAAAGACACCTCCAAATTTTGTTAGAAACAATACATGAATTCAGTTTCAGGACACAAGAGCAAAATACAAAAATCAGTTGCATTTCTAGACACCAGCAACAGACTATCTGAAAATGAAATTAAGAAAACAATCCTGTTCAGGGCAACTGGGTGGTTCAGTCAGTTAAGCATCCAACTCCTGATCTCAGCTTAAGTTTTGATCTGAGGATCGTGAGTTCAGGCCCTACACTGGGCTCCACCCTGGGTGTGGTATTTTTTAAAAATCCTGTTTACAATAAATTCAAAAGTAATAGAGTCTTTAGAAATAAACTTAACCAGTGATGAAAAACTTGTATATTAAAAATTATAAACACTGAAGAAACAAATTAAAGCAGACAAATAAAAAATGGAAAGATATCCCATATTCATGGATTGAAAGAATACTGTTAAAATACCCATAGTACCCAAAGTGATCTATAGATTTAATAAAATCCCTATCAAAATCCAAATGTCATTCTTTACAGAAATAGAGAAAACAATCCTGAATTGATGGAAAGGATTTCAAATAGGCGGGATTCAGGAATCTCCAAAGTGCTAGGAGCAGGAAGTCCAGGAAGAAGAGTCTTGTAGTAGGTATGTCCAGGTCTAGGTACTTGCCTTTTGGATCAATCAACTTTAACCAACTTTTACCTCTGTCCATCAACTCATTCTCAGAGCATCTATTGGCCTTGCTCTTAAGATATGTTTGCAAAAAAAAAAAAAAGAAAGAAAGAAAAGAAAAGAAAAGAAAAAAAAGCTTGCCCCATGCCTAGGAAAAGACAGGGCACCAAACTGAGGGTTCCACCAGACTGTTTTATCCAAAGATAAAGATGTGATTCCCTAAAAGAAAACTAGGTTGCAATTAGGAAATACAAATAGTTAATTGACAGCTCAAAATCAACAATGGCTGCTAGAAGTTGTCAGCACCAAACCACAAAAGGCTTAGTGGGTCATATGTAGGGACATTGACTTTTATCCTAAATTCAAGAGAGAATC